TTTTGAACATGGTCACTATAGTGCACATTGCATTCCTAGTAAGGAAGTCTTGAATAAGAAGCTCATGCATCTAGCAAATCAATTCAATACTTTAAATGATCAAGTTATGAATTTTTCTAAGCTTTTGTAGAAGTCAAGTGAGTTTAAGCATGCTAGAGTGCACAAAGCTCCTTCTACTCTCAAGATCAAAATTGATCTACATACTTTCAGAGAGACGAGAGTTAGTCCTCCACCCACTCCTCAACCAAACCCAAGTTATTGGAAGGGAAAACAAGTATGGGTGACAAGGGAGGAGTTTGAGAGGCTCACCTCTCAACTAAATTGGATGTCCCGAGTGCTTCCAAATGGTCAAGCCACCTAAGAAGTAGATAAGGTGAGTAGTATGAACCTATCACTCATGCATTGAATCAAACACCTTAGGGTCATATGTTGTGTATATTTTTATTTGTTTATTTTTGAAATTTTCTTTTAAGAAAAACCAAAAACATTACAAATTGAAAAACCAAAAACAATAGAAAATGGAAACTCAAAAAGATTTTTTATGTCAAGTTTGACATTTTTTTTTAGGATTTATGATAATTGGATTATTTTTCCTTTGTTGTAACATATTTATTTATTTTATTTATTTATGCATAGTTTTTTTCTTTGTTTATATGTTATGTGAAAATTTTAAAAATATTGGAAAAAGAAAAAGGCAAAAAGATTTTATGTTGTTTATTTTTCTTTGTTATTAATCATGGTAACTCACACTTTGGTTTCTTTTATAATGATTTCATCTTTCAATTAAAGTTGAAACGAGTGTTGATATGAGTCATATTAGAGAATAGAGAACTTAGTAGTCATAAATCTTAGTGCATGATTCATGAATCAAAGTCCCTTTCACCCTAACGTGCTTGGATCGTGTTTTCCTTTAGAAAAATTCAAAAACTATGTATACGTAAACCATTCACCTTCATACTTAGAAGTCTTGTTAGTTTAAATGATTAATGATCTTACGTGACTCTAAGTGTTGGTGATATGTGGACATTATGGCTAAAGGTTATTAAATCCCCCAATCCCTTAAAAGATGTCAAAAAGTCATAAGTGAAAAAAGAGCCCAATGTGACCAATCTTAAAAAGGTGAAAAATAAAATAAATGACTCAGAACAATTGCACTTGAATTGTTGAGAGAACTTATGTTTAATGATCATTACTCATTTGTAAAGCTCATGTTAAACATGCTTAGAAACATATTTGTAAAGTACGTAATTCACAATCGTGCTAATTGAAAACATAAGAATAGAAGGGATAAAAGATATGGGGAGTTGCCAAAAAACAATGATTAGAATAATCACTAACCGTCACACTTGAATTGGTTAAAATTGAACAAAATTTGAACACGTTTGAGTGGAATTGAACTAAAGCGGAGGAACATTACTCTAGGATGCATGAAATTGAGTTCTATATTCTTGAATATGCCTTAATGTTATGAGATGATAAAAATTGGATGAAACTATTATAATGTGAACATATGTGATTTTCATGTTGAATGACATTGTACATTTTAATCTTTAATTTAAAAATTGTATTACATTTAGATCCAATTTCATCCATGCATGTGTATTTAGGTACATTTAAGTTGTACATGCATCCATGCATTCATTTGAGGCTTGAAAGATAGATTAAGAGAGCGAATGAAGGGTCGAGATGGTCTGTGAAAGCACCAAAGCTGAATTGTCAAAATTGACAGAAATCTTAGGGACCACTCAAGCGACCCCACACCATTCAAGCGGCCATGCGATCAGTCGGCGTCCTAGGTTTATAATTTGATTTTTTAATTGCCCTTTTGCATTCCAAACACTCTCACACGCATCTCAAGCCTCCCAAAACCCTAAAGCCCTATACCTAAGCGATCCCAAACACCTTCTAGTGAGTTTCTAGCTTTGATTCTCAATCTTTACCTAGAATTGTGTGTGTTCATGCCTCCACAATGAGAGAAAATGGCTAAGGTTGTAGAACAACAAGAGAAAATCGAGATTGATTTCGATGAGAATACTCGATTTTAGACTCCAAACTTCACAAATAGACAAATCTAAGTATGCTCTCAGGCTAGTGATTGTTGAGCGAGGGGTAAACTTCAGAGAGGTAACTTCCTTTATCCTTTCAAACTTCACAAAATAGAGGGTGGACACGGTTGTTCAATGACCCTAAGCCTTCAAACGTTGGCATAGTGAGAGAGTTCTACACTCATATTCATGATCCCAATTCCGGAGTTAACCACTTTGTCACTTATATTAGAGGGATTGAGTTCACATTTTCTATACTCTTGGCCTTCCTAGTGTAGAGAACGATGCCCTTAGTAGAGTGCCAGTTGATCAATTGTCTCATCTCCATGTTTTGGCTACTGAAGTATATTGTATATCTCAGCCAAAACACTTGATCCCGTTGAATTTCTTTCAAAAGTATTTAACCCCAAACTAAAGGATGTTAAACCTAATAACCAACTATAACATAGAACTAAAAACCTATATTTCAAACTTCCCAGTTCAGAGATCACATATGTTTTATGTTATAGGGATAGGGATAGATCTTGATCTACCATTGATGATTTTCAGCTTGTTTAGCAAGCCTTTTTGGAAATGAGAGTATCAAATGGTCTACTTTTGGATCACTGATCACTCGTATCTGTAAGGGCAGGGGAGTTATAGTTTGCCCATAACCCCATGAGGCCTTTGAACAAGAATTCATTGAAGTGGAGCAAGGTCCAGGCTAAGTACGTTGTTTTAGTAAAAGAGTAAAGATAAAATTTGGAGGTTCCACATGTTAAGACTGGACCTTGTGCACCATCAGTTAACCCAGAGTTCGTCTAGACCACCACCACCACTTGAGTTAGTTTCAGATGTCATTGCAACCTAGTTGGCATCCTTAGTTTACATGCTTGCTAGAGTTGATCATACCATGGTAGAGCTTCAATGCCTCATTTCTCAGAGGTTAGATGCATTGGATGGCAGGATAATGAGCCTAGAGGATACTTTGCAGTCAGTAATTTCATGCAGAATTGGAAGACTTAGAAGGTTGCTGAAGGGTAAGCACACTGAAGGTAAGCCAGTGCCAGATGACACTGATTAAGATATAGAGCTACCCCGATGCGATGGTGGAGATGATGTGGCCACGGGTACTTCTTAGAAGACTTTAGTATAGGATTATATAGGAGTTTGTGAGTGTTATTATTCATGGTATATTCTTAAAGTACTATAGTTTTCTTATTGACTTTTTATGTTATTAACTTTTACATTGGTTTTGATATTTTCCTTGTGACATACTCTTAGTTATATGTTATTTGATGCTTTTATCTTTTGAGACTTTGATTTTTAAGTGTCATGTTTGTCATTTACTTTACTTACATGCCTATTCTTGCTAGTTTGTTTTGATTTATAACTCCTCGGTATATCATGATTAGGTGTCGTGTTTGTTATGACATGTCATTGGATTGACACTTTGTGACAAATAAGGAAGAATATTTTGGGATGACTTGATTTGTACCACGCTTGTTATAATGTCATTGAGTTGGCACTTTGTGACAAAAAAGAAGAGAATATTTTAGGTACATATGAGAGAAATCAAGGAGATTTTCTCTTAGCTAGCTTGAGTAAGTTGCATGTGATTAGAGTAAGGAGAGTTTGTTCTTAGTACATATACAAACTTGACATGATGTCACCTATTTACACTCGTTATTTTATTTGTGAACACCAACTAAGGGAGAGAACTAGTTATGCATTGTCATGCTATATCTAAAGGTTTTCAAGCATATTGGGCAAAGTAATTCTTATCTATGTTACATATTTGCACTTGCATGATATTAATATGAATATGCCAAAATGTTTCAAATTCTAAACCGAAAATATTGATATGAAAATATTTTCTTCAAAACAAATGCAATTGTATATACAAACGAATACAACTGTCAGATTCAAAATAAAGAACTCAATTTTAAATATGAAATATTGGAAAGCAATATACGCGGAAAAAATAACGGGAAGATCACATAATATGAGTGTTTCAATGCAAGGGTAACATTGTAATATTAAAAAAAAAAGTAAATTAGTTTCAACCACAAGACAAAAAATCAGCTAACATATATTTAATGACTTAAAAAAGTCTTTGATTGGCCTAATTGACAAAATAACTACCCCAAATGGATTTGTGAACAATTTTCGCTAATATAAAATAGGGCAGAGAGAATATAGAATGAGATGATTTTAATAATTTTACATTAAAAATTTAAATAAGATGAAAATAATTATTTGAGGGTGGTAGTATAAGTCGAATGAACCTCCTTAAATAAATACATTACTAATGCAACTTGTCGGATGATACTATTTGTATATCATTTATTTGATAAGTAAATCCTATCAATTTTTTTTAATAGAGCCCATTTTTTTCACACTTATCCAAAAGATGATATACATTTGAGTTTTAACTTTTAAATTTCATTTGAATTATGTAATATTTTCCTTTTCCACTTACCTACAAAACATTAATTGCAGAAGAATGAATCAAAGAAGAATGAATCAAAAAATCCGATCTTTATCATTTTGGATATCTGAATCTCGATATTTCTGAAAGAATAGAACTACTCTACACATCTAACCCATTTGTTGTACTACAAGGCTATCTTAGAGGACATGCCACATGGGTGCCAAGAGGGGGCAGCCATGAATTAGTATTTGGTCCATTAAGCTTTGTTGCTTAACATGCAATTAAGTTGAAGTATTACAAGACCGGTTCTGCCTCCGTTTCCAATACACATTTGGTTGAAAGAAAAAAGAGACATCCGACTTACTTCCTTGTCCAAAAGGTAAATGAGACACTTTTCACAATCATATTCACAATGTATGCCAATTTTTGAAGGCGATAGCACTAAGTACCTAATACTGCAATCTTAGTTGACAATTAGACTCAATCAAGTATCACACTCGCACATTATAAGAATGAGAATTAACGCCCAAATCTAGCAACCTTCAAGCTGCTTGTAAAGACCGGGCCCGAGCAGCAGCTCTCTCCAGTGCCTTCAACCTGTTGGCTTCGATGCGAGCTTTCTGTTCTTCCGAGACATGAATATCAGTAGAGCTGCTAGGCTTACAAACCTGTGCTTCATTTGGTGATTCTTTGATGGAATTACAATCACTGGATATATCAGCGGCAACATTCTCATCCTGTAAGGCCTGAGATGGCTCCTGCACAGGAACCTTTTAATAAATTTGGGAATATGGAAAAAGTAGGACAGTGAAGCTCAAACTTTAAAGGCAATCCACGGCAGTAATGTAGCTTTACCTTAGGCATATTGATCACTTTGACCTATCAGATTACTGTTCAGGTTTCTTACATTGTTTCTCACTACATATCATACTTATCTATAATCTCTTCTCTCTTTACCAACCTTTGAACCCATGACCTTGGGTTTGGTATTGTAGGGGCACAACCACTAAGGTACAACGAAGTCAGGTAATAATCATCTAACCGACTAAGACAGTAAAAGGTGAGTGGAGAAGGGCTAGTGTGTAGAGATACCTGAGCTGAAAACAAGCAGAAAAGATTTGACTACAAGTATTAATTAGATCTACCATGCATAGAAGTTCTATAATAAAATCACTCCTAAGGTATCTCACACATAGAAGCAAACCTATAAGTAAAACAGCCCAGCAGCACCAACCCAAAGCAGCGTTAAAACACAACACTTGTGCTTTCTTGCAAATGTTCTAGATATGAGGCTCAACATGACATAAATTCAGTTTTACCATACATCTTACAGGTGCATATATCTACTGTGAGACTCCTAAGGCTCATTTAGTATTTCTGTAATAGATTCAAACATCCAGTATCCCCCAGATCAGGTTTGTCTGGGGGGCAGCATCTACATCCATCTTGTTCAACTAGGACTGTCAGTAGGGTGGCCCAAAGCCAGCTAAATTTTGGGTATGGATCAAATTGACTTTGATCCAGGCTGAATTTGAGCACAATTAAAAGCCCGAATTGAAATTTAGGCCGAGTTCAAGTAGAAATACATTCAGCCCAACTAAGACCCAATCTCTCCAAAACATGACATTTATTTCATTTTATCCATATGTAGAATTTATATACAATACAGAACCAATTTTTCTATTTTCAAAAGTTTCATTTCGGCCAGCGTTCGTGCTAGTATGTTTTCTTCTATCTACCTCTCTCTATCTCTCTCTCAAACATAACCTTCCTGGATAAACAAGGTTTCCTTCTCCCTCTCTCACATAACATAAGCTTTCTGCAGAGAAATAGGCACAAGAATGGCTAGTTGGAATCTCTTGTCAGTTCATCGTCCTCCTCTTGTGCATATATCCTCATTGTTTGGTTCTTCTAGGTTTAGGGTGGGTGGCACATGTGGTTTCGATGGGTTGGCATTGGTTGGTGATGGGTTTGCAGTTGGTGGTTGTTCAAATGCAGTGGTGGGTTCATAGATGATGGGACAGCAATGATGAGTTGGCAAGTGGATGGGAAAGGGGAGGTCACCATGGACGGGCAGATAGGACGCGGTTCGAAAGGGGTTTGCCCACCAAGGAGGTTCTACTGGGGATTAAGCATTCCTACCGCAGGTGGTGGTGAGGCTGCAAGGGTGATGATTAGGGCTGCCATATTGACTTTTTTAGTGAAAAATATGTTGGCCACAGTTATTAAAGCCATCTAGCCCATATCTTTCACAAAATTAATGAATCAATTTAGTCCAGAACCACGAGGTGAATTGTAATGGGGAAATAGCACATGGGGGTAAATTGGATGCTTACCTTGTAGAAATGCAATGACCACACGATATTATGGCAGTTCTCTCTCGGATTTCCCATTCCATTGAAATTTGAAAAGTCATATCAAAAAAATTGATTGTCCAAGCCACGAACTTCAGCTATACATGTTAGATATATGCACACATCATCCAAAGCCTCAACTCTCATATAAAAACCTAGTGCATATTTTGTAAATGCTTAGCTTAACACTACATCACAAAGCTATTGAGTTAAAGCAACCAGCTCTAAATTTTGCTCAAACCATCCAATCCCACTCCCAACATATAGTTCAACAATTCTTAGAAAGAGACAAGTAAAATCCTCTCATTTGACCAAGTCAAATCACTTGAAATATTTAGAAGAGAGAAAAAGGGAATCCAAACTAAGTGTAGAGCCCCGCATATATAGAAAATGAAACTTACAATAAAGATAAAAAGGTAAAAAAGAAAAAATTTAATAAACCCTAATAAACTAAGCTGTTATATCTCCAAAACTCCCCCTCAAGATAGGCACAAAAATGTCAACTAAGCCAAACTTGACAATTGAGTCCCGAAGAATGAATAGAATGACAGGTTTGGTGAAAACATCCACAACCTGATCACTAGTCCCCACAAACAATGGAGTGACAATACCACTGTTAACCTTCTTCTGAAGAAAGTGAACATCGATCTCTATATGCTTCGTCCTCTCGTGTAATATAGAGTCAAAAACGAATTAAATAGCAAATCGATTATCACAATATAATGTAGATGAAGTAAGTCACTAGAAATCCCAACTTGCTAAGAATCGATTGTAATCAGATAATCTCACATGTGCCAAGTGCCAGTGCCCAATACTCTGCCTCTGCTGACGAGCGAGAGACAACTGACTACTTTTTGCTCTTCCAAGAGATAAAATGAGTCACTCGAAAAGCACATAAGCTCGTAGTAGATCGATCGTCATATGCTCCCCCATAATCTGAATCTGAATAACAGGCTAGAAAACCAATCTGAAATCCTAATGCATAGAACAACCCAAGTCCAGGACAAGACTTGAGGTACCGAAGAATATGATAAACTTCATCAAGATGAGGCTAACATAGTTTGTGCATGAACTGACTAACTCGGCTGACAGCGAATGAAATGTCTGGCCTAGTATTGGCTAGGTAGATAAGTCTACCTACCAACCTCTGATAGACAGTCGGATCTACCTATGATAGACAGTCGGATCTCCCAACTCCTCACCTTTAGCAGTAAACTTCAGATTTGGAATTATGGATGATGATGTCAGTTTGTACCCCAGCATCCCAGTGTCTAAGAGAAGATCCAGAATATACTTTCTCTGAGAAAGAACAATACCTCTGCTGCTACAGGCAACCTCAATCCCAAGAAAGTATCACAAAAATTCAAGATCCTTCACATCAAAGGCCTTCCCAAGGTCTACCTTAACTTGTACAGTCCCAGAAACATCATCTTCAGTAATAATAATATCATCAATATATACCAAAAGGATGACACACTGTCCGGAAGTATTCGGTCGAATGAAGCAAGTATGATCAGAATGACATCTGGTGAACCCTAAACGTACAACTATATCACTAAAACAAGAGAACCAGGCTCGTGGTTACTGTTTCAGTCCATAAAGAGACTTACGCAATCGACAAATCTTTCCACCATACTCCCCTTCACCACGAAAACCTTGTGGTACATCCATATAAATAATCTCGTCCAGATCACCGTGAAAAAATGCATTCTTCACATCCAACTGATGAAGAGGCTAAGAGTATTCCGCAACTAGAAAAATATTCAGTCGAACAATAGTCAATTTTGCCACGGGGACAAAAGTAGCACCAAAATCACAACCTGGTATCTGAGTAAAGCCCTTCGCCACAAGCCTAGTCTTGAGACGATCAATAGTATCATCCGCAAGAAACTTCTGGGTGTAAACTCAACGACAGCCAACAAGATTTACCCCTGAAGGTAAAGAGACAAGATCCCACATATAATTACGCTGAAGAGCGTCCATCTCTGTCTGTATAACAAGAACCCACTGAGACTTCCGCATAACCTCTGAAACAGAGCGAGAAACCGGCGTATCCGATAAGGCCATACTATAAGCTCAAAATGTAAGAGACAGATCACCATAAGAAACATAAGCAGAAATCGAATATAAAATCCTAACGGTCCAACCATAACGAACAACTAGACAACGATCACGCCGTGGATAACAACGCCCTAAATTATCATCCTCCACTGATAATGTCTCATCAGGTAAAACACCTGGCTCAGTACCTGCAATCTCATCAGTACAAACAACAGGTGCATTAATATGTTCAACGAACTAAGAAGTATTACTTGCATCGCCTGAAGTAGAGAGAACATCAGCAGGGGGATGAGAGCGAGGACGATGAACATAAACCTGCAAAGGAAGAGAGACTAGTGACTCTGTACTAATAGGGAAGAGTGGCTCTGACTCTAGTGATAATAAAAAATCAAAGGGAGTATCATCAACTGGAGGGACAAACACAGGACTGAAAGAAAAATAAGGAATATGCTCAAGGAAGGTAACATCTAGATTGTGATACATACGTCGCCTGACAAGATCATAACACCGATACCCCTTAGACTAATGAAAATAACCCACAAAGATACAACGAATCGCTTTATCATTAAGCTTATGACGAGTAGGAGACCGATCCTGAACAAAACATGTGCAGCCAAAAATACAAGGGGGGACCAAAAAAAGTATCCGCTCGGGGAATAAGACCTGTAAGGGAACTCTATGCTGAAAAACACGACTCGGTGTACAATTGCACAAAAAGGTAGAAGTCAAAATAGCAAAATGCCAATAAGATTTTAGTATCTCCATACCTCTAAGTATACAACATACCATCCTTATCAGACTCCTATTTTTTCTTTTAGCAACTACATTTTGCTCAGAAGTATAAGGACAAGTGAGCTGCTGAAGGATACCTTGAGAAGAAATGTGAGACACTAAGGCATCAGACACATATTCTTTGGCATTATTCGAACGAAGAGCACAAACAATGACATATAACTGTGTTCTAATCATTTGAAGAAATTAAGTGATGACAGGGAGTACATCAGACTTCCTATGCAAAAGGTAGACCCAAGTACAACGAGTATGGTTATCTATAAATATCACATAATATCGGGCACCTGACAGAGCAGTAATAGGAGAGGGTCCCCAAATGTCCGAGTGTATTATAGGTCAAATGGTTTGGGTGACTGGTGCATGCGAGGAATATAACTGATCCAAACATGTTTTGATAGGAAACATATAACACAGTCAAGTTTACCACTAACACAAACTTTGCTCAAAGCAGGAAATAACATACATAAATATTTAAAATTTGTATGCCCAAAACGGTTATGCCACAACAGAACAGTTTATGATGAAATATCATAACGACAAGTATTAGGTAAAATACTAGCATGTAAGCTAGGAACAGATAAAGACAAAGCAAGTGATGGAGGTGGAGGTGGAGAAACTGGTGAAATCGGAGGTGGATCGCCTAAATAATACAATTCATCTCTCTCATGTCCCTTGATATTTATCCTCCTGATACTCAGGTCCTACAAATAACTCGAATCAAATAAGAACACAACCGCACAGTGAAAATCTCTGGCTAATTGATGTACAGATAATAAATTCATAATCAACTTTGGCGCATAAAACACCAAACGTAATGTAAAGTCATCTAAGAGGCGGACTGTACCCCTACTAACAATAAGGGCATGTGTACCATCTGCTAACTGAACTTGAGTATGTAATTTCTCGTCAAAAGAAATGAAATGATGGGCCTCACCGGTCATATGACCATTAGCACCCGAGTCCAGCATCCAAAAAGAAGACGGACTAGCGCAAGTATGAAAGACACGAACTATACCTGTAGTAATGGCAGCAGTAGTAGTCGAATCTTGAGAAGTCAATGCTGACATAAATATATCCAAGCGAGAAGTGATAGCATCCATATCACTCTGTCAAGGAGGAGCAGTAGCAATAGTAGTAGGAGCAATGATTGTAGGTGGCGGTGCCTTAGCAATGGCAGCAGTACGGCTGCGAGCTTAAGCTCCAAATAGAGCTTCCAACAAGTAGCCCTGAGATGTCCTAGTCGGCTACAATAATCACACTGACGAGAATCCCCATATCAATGCTGATGTGGGATAACCTAACAACTTTGGGCCAAGCGCTGTCGACCCCTATACCCGGTGGAAGTATTAACAGATGTCTCAACGTTAGGAGTCTCAACTCCCTCAGTAGTAGTCATATCATCAATAATACTAGAACACTCGTGACAGAAAAACAACTCTAAGATAAATAGAGGAATAAAATAAGGGAGAACAATATACCTTCAGTCAAACAGTAGCGACAGATAAAAAAGGTCCAAAAAACTCCCAAATAAGCAGGGTCACGGTGTCGAAAAATCTAATAAATATAAATAATTGATTTACTGCATCAAGAGCATATCAATGAAGAAGAGAATTCAACCCCTCTTAAAAAAGTCCTAGATACTGCAGCCTGACAGCACTGTGACAGAATACGAAGGACAAAGCCACAAAAATCGTAACCCAACAATGGGCTGATGAATGGGCTAGTCTGCGGTAAGTGAACCAACAGTGGGCTGGTTTGGGCTGTGGACTGGTCTGTGGTATATTGGGTTTGGGCTAGACAGTGACCCAACTGGAGATAATGATGTTTTGGTGTAACAGGGGTGCAGCAGGGATACAACAGGCTGTTGGTGTGGCCTGGGCAGTGATTGGTTTTGGTATGGGGTAATCGGTGGGATGCAACAAACTATCGGTATGGCCTAGACAGTGGTTAGTTTTGGTATGGGGCAGTCGATGTAGATGGTTTTGGTATGGGGTAGTCGGTGGGATGCAGCAGACTGTCAGTGTGGCCTGGA